TCTCTTATCTGATAATTTGCTATATTTTCTTCTACTATTTCTCAACTAATTCACTGTTTTCTTTGTAGTTACAGGCTAGGAGATTGTGTTCCTGATTGTGCTATGACAAAAGCCACATGAAAAAAGAAAAACTTTTTCTTTTTTGATAAATAACAGTATTTCCTTAAGACAAAACTGAGCTACCCCAAAAAGAGTAGCAAGCCAAGTAAGTACAAAGCCAGCAGTTTTTTTGGAAGAGGTAAGCACAAAGCCAGCATGGCTCACAAAAGTTATCATTATTCTCAATATATTACATTAGAGAGTTACAAATTGAATCCTGGCCCCAGTTCTCTCCAATCCAAAAATCCCTTAACTGCTCTAGTATTGGCCGGCTGTTGGCACTTCTAGGAATCCACTTGAATGAGGTATTCAAATTTCATCCTAGCGAAAGAATCTATCTCATTAGAGAACTGGCCTTCTATGGGATATCCTTCCTATCTTGCATCCAAGATATAATTGTATGACTGTCCCCTTCTATATCAATCTCAATCCGCTCCATCAATGCAATTAATTTTGGCCCTGGCAGTAAGGCCTGTATCTCTGCTTCTAGGGAGTTTATTACTCCTATTGACCCTGAGAAACTCAACAGAATGTTACAGCTGCAGTCCCTAATTACTCCACCAGTTCCTGAAGCATCCAGATTTCCTAAACTGCACCCATCAAAGTTGAGCTTCAGCCTTCAGTGACTACTTTTCATTCTCTTATTAAATCATTAATTTATACTCCTTTGAACTCATCACAAACCATTACCTAGTGTACAATCCTCACTGCTGTGAGTTCAATAAATTTTTTCTTTTTTGATGAGCAACACAATGAAAATTTCCATTCAGTAATTTTAAGAGGTACAACAAGAAGTTGAGTGCATACAGCCTTAGCTTTCCACCTACCCATGCATTTTACATCAAAGCCCAAAATAGTTGGTGTCTATTAACTCCCTGATTAGCTAGGCAGTCAGCCAAGCCATTAGGTGATCTTTGCACCCATTTAATTTCTATATGCATATCCTTTGAGAACCATTTCAAGTGCCTTATTTCATTCCTAAATTACCAACCAGCTTCCTCTAAGAGCCAGCTGATAACAACTTTGGAGTCACTTTCAACAATCACCCTTTCAGCTCCCAATTCCTTAACTTTCTGTACCCCTATGCTTTCTGCCATCATTTCAGCCCTTACTCAATCTCCTTCCCCTATTGAACCTGAGTATGTTGCCAAGATCCTTCCACTTTCATCCCTTATTATTCCTCCAATGCTAGAAGGCCCAAGGTCACCCATACTACTGTCAAAATTCAGTTTCCACCACCCTCTAGTTGGGGGAGTCCACTCCCTTGCTATTTTTGTCTTTTTTGAAGAAGATGCAGCCACTGCCCCCACCCCCAATTTCTAAATATATCATCAAGTGTAAAATCCAAGAACAGGTCCACAGTCTTGACCCAATTTGAGTTCAATAAATTTGCCCACCTCCATTGCTTTTTCCTAAAAAAATTCTTGCATTTCTTCCCTCCCCCTCATACCCCTTATCACTGCAGCTCTTGTGCAGTGCAAGAGAATCATCTCCCTTTTTATGTGACAAGACTGTGAATCTGTTGTGAAACACTCCATAACATTAGATGGAGATACCCACATGCTTGCAAGGATGGACATGAAATGATTCCATATCGGAGTTGCACAATGACAAACTAACAGGAGATTATTAGAACTTTCTCTACCCTCAAGCAGGGAACACACACATGAGGAGAAAGACACACCAGGTTTTTCTTTTGCTTTGAAGTTTCTCATAGGTGTTTCTGACTTGCCTTGATGCTTCCCAACAGAATACCTTAACTCCTGATGGGATTGGACCTTGCCAAACAACTTTAAAAGGGAAAGGTTTTATTATAGAGTCTGATGACACAAGGACCTAAAAAGAATTGGCCATTTCAATTAGGAACCCTCACTAAGCATTAGAAGATGAACACCAATTTGAGATCAGTATCTAGCCTCCTCTAGTTTGCAGTAACCACTTCTATATCTACTTCATCATCCACCAGGTCGAGCAGCACCTTACTCTTTGAAATTGGATAATAATCATGCAAGGTGCCAACCAGCTGGTTGGTAAGGTCTCCTGCTGGTCGTAACGGAGACTTAGGATCAAATCCCGCCTGCACTTGGGTTTGGGGATGGGCTACCCCTGTTGTGTAGCCCTTCAAAAGAAAAAAAAAAGGGTAATAATCATTGTCCCCTTTACACCTAAACACCTTTGAATTTCAATACTGACCCCATTCTAATCCTCCACTTGATGCTTGGTTACAACTACCAATCTTTGTTCCCATAGCTCCTTCCCTTGGCTGAAAGTCATCTTGCTTCAAAATAGAGCTTGTCACTGCCAGGGGTTCTCCAGCCTTCACTGACTCCCCCCCCCCCTTCGTGTACACATTTCTCCATCTGTTCTTCACCTCGAGAAAAAGATGTGGGCCTTGTTGCAACGTTTGGGTGGCTCTGTGACCTAGGTGACCAGGGTTCAAATCTTGGAAACAGCCTCTCTATGTATCTGCAAGGATAAGGCTGTGCAAACCTGTCACTTCCCAGACCCCACATTGGCAGGAGCCTCAATGCACTGGGTTGCCCTTTTATCTTCATCCTTTTTCTCATAAGTTCTCCCAAATATTTCCTCATTCCATACTTTCAATTTTCCTTTGATTTCTGTCAATTTTTGCATGAATTGAAAACCATCCCATCCATCCACTTGACATTCTCCCCCACCAAGATGCAATATTGGCTTTAAAGGTGGGGTGGGTTACCCATATATTTTCAAACCTAAAGGGGAGAGGCCCAATTTGAGTTCCTTTGATTGTAACAATATGGGTGAATGATCAGAAGTTGGTCTGACCAATGCTTTGACTAAGAATAAACCAAATTGATCCACTTACTCTACTATCACCAAAAACTTATCTAATTTTTAGCATACCAGGTTAACTTGTTGCATATTGGACCATGTAAATTTTGCATTGTGTATGGGAATCTCCTTCAAGCTATAATCATCAATAAATTCATTAGAATTCTACATGCTAGTTGTTATTCTTGAAGATCTTTCTTTTTCAACATTATATGACTTTAATCTTAAACCACATAACTGTTGACACATTACCTACCAATTCTTCAAGGCAATGTGATACTTGATCATCCCATAAAGTCAAGATTCCACCAGCCACTCCTATTGATGGTAAATAGGTTGTTTCTTGATCCCCAAATGCTCCTTACCCAAGCTTCTGTTATCAACTACAATTTAGTCTCTTGTCACATGACTAATGTAGGTTTGAGATTGCTCAAATAATCTTTCAAAGTTTTCTTCCTTGCACTACCTAGACCTCTAATGTTCCATCTCACTACCTCCACTGATCACTTTGTAGCCCTTTTTCCACTTCCTTATTTGTCATCATCTTGCCTCTCCTTGAATATGTCTGATCTATATTTATTCCTGATGATGTTAATATTTCTACCTCAGATCTTTTTTTTTCCTAGTCTTAACTGTTCTCTCCCTTTGGTTCCACCAAGCTGATGCCTATAGCATCTGCCAAGTCATCCAACCGGTCTATCTATTTCACCGATTTCTCTTTCTTTTCAATTTCAGACCCTTCTCTCTTTCCTTCAAATCTTCTACCCCAGACTCTATCTCCATACCAGGAGAAAATAAGAAAAGAACATGAGGCACTCCCTCATTTGTTCTTTTATTTCTTTTCATGAAACTCTTGGATTTTTCATCTTTATTTTTTAACAGTAAAACCCAATAGATAAGAAATATAAAGTCAATGATGGATTTCATTAATAGATATAATAATAAGATGCACCACAGTAATATAGTATATTTAGGTTTTATTAATAGGCATTACCTGCTTGTAATTTTTTTCACCTAGACTATAGCCTTATCACCTAGATGGGCCCCTTGACACCTAGACAACCGCCCTTTTTTATCAGCACACAAAAAGATTTCATTAAATGATTAACAAAAGGAAAGAGGTTCCAACAATAGGTTGTGAATACCATTGAAAAAAAAAAAACCCAAAATATTACATACACATTCCACTACCCTATTACAACTGTGCCCAATACATTTGTTGTTTGTGAGCACCTTGTTTTGCCAGACCATCCACCAGACAATTAGCTGATCTTCTTACCAATCTTATTTGAATGTTCAAATCTTTTGAGAACCACTTAAAGTGTCTGATTTCATTTCTGAGCTGCCACACCACCCCCATACCTTTTTTAAGCCACCCTACTACTATCCTCAAATCCCCTAGACAACCACTTTTTAATATAAGCTATGGCATTTAGGGGGATCCTTCAATGGAAACCTAGATGATGCCCTGGTAACTATGGTGTGCCATGAGGTTTTCCCTCAAATGGTAGTTTGTAGTAGTATATACAATTTATGCTATAGTGGTGTAAGTGAACCATTCGTAGTTAATAAAAACTATGATAAAGTATTCACCTTGTAATTTCTGTCACCTAGGTTGTAGCCTTATCACCTTGGCACCCAGACAAGCATCCTTCTAATATAAATCATGGAATTTAGGGAGCACCTTCAGTGTGAACCTAGAAGATGCTTTGACGACTATGGCAAACCATGAGGTTTACAATCAAATGGTGGTTTATAGTACTCTTATCTGTAGAATTTTTACTATAGTGGTGTACATGCACCACCCCTAGAACATTTAAGACAGGTGCTATAGATTGTGTTGGGAAATATAGTATTAAAACCTCCCCAGCCATACCTATCAAACAGAGGACTCCCCAGTCCCCAGTGACCAGTATTTTATTTGTAAGTGTATACCAGAATGTCATCAACGTATTGTCATTGTGATAAAAAAGACAGGTGTTATAGATTTCAACTGAAGAAATTGTTTATTGCAATTCATTCAAATCCAAAAGACTTTAAGGAAAAGGCAACTCATTCATCAAAAAAGAGGATCCAAATAAGATTAGAACCTGCTCATTAGAAATTCCTGCATTCATTCCATCAGTTTTGACTTTAGTCATATGTGAAGCTCCCCTTTCATTTGAATCTAAATCACTATCTGTCAATGTTGACTGAGAATTTTTCCTTGACATAGCTGTTGCCATTGAATTCTCCCCTACTACCCTTTTATCCCTGACTTCAGAATCTTTTGGCTTAACTAATTCTGTATCTGAAATGGTTCTCAAACTCTTACATAGTCTCTGCATAGTACTGGACAGATTGTTTAACAAGAGTTGCTGCTCTGAACTATCTTTGTAGTTTATAGGGAGGAAGAACTCTAATATATAATCATCATCACCGGTGTAAGTGCTCCTTAGTCTGATTGCAACGGCAGCATTCAGACGAAATTTGCGTGCATGATGTACAAGGGGATATTCACTTATGTTATACTCCTTTACATCAGGAGAGAAGAAGGGCTGATTTGATTCAAGTACTTTTCCTGCAGTACCCTGTCCTTTCTCAAGGTGATGTTCAGTACATGCATGAACAAATCCTTGCATCTGTATATCATTTACATAGCATGCCATGTCCTCAACACACAGTACACGTTTCTGAGATGAACTTGAAATACTATCTCTTATGCACACGCTAGTACATTCATCACCAACCCCATCAGTGTAGCTGCAGGGAATCCATGTCAGGGCCAATGGTAGCTTATGTGCATGACAAACAGCTCTTAGGACATCAACTATCTCATCCATGGCAGATCTCTGGCTTTCTGAAAGTGACTGCAAAATAATACAAGGTTAGTTAAGAATTCAGAGTATCAATCAACACTTGAAAAATAATGATCAAACAAATAGCACTTGAGGAAGACTTTTTTTTTTTGAGAAAAAATAGAGAAATTTTCTCTTCTATCAATTCTTTGTGAATCAGCATGGCTAAAAGTCTAAAAATATCAGTTGATTAATACCTGTGGATGAATACGAGGTGGTTTAGTGGTCATCAAGTCCACGTCCTGCAAACAATGTTCAAAGTTAGGGTAAAGATCATAATCTTTCCTTCAACAATATATGTTTATGTAGTACCAACATACATATTCTGTATGTATATGTATGTGATCTAATACAAATCTTGTTTCATTTACCCAAAAAAAATGTATATTTATGTGATCACATGTTTGAAGCAATAAAGCAAATTCACATTTGCAACATGTGATCTTCCTTGCATGAGAGCTAAAACAGAAGAAATACAAGAGGGAAATAAAAGAGAAGCAGTGCAGTTGAGAGAAGAAAGAAAGATAAGTAGAGGAAGAAGGAAAAGTGTTTCCGTTAGAGGCAATACTTAGTCCTCTCATGAAAAACCAGATTAGAGGCAATATGTGTTGCTGCCTTTAGCCCAAGTAGATGGTGGGCCATATAAATCTTAACAGAAATTAACTGTGTGCACTTCACAACTACAATGACTACATTCACAAACCTGTCCACATCCACCACCATCCCTATCTCCTCTGCCACCACCATGACCAACTCACATCCAACACCTCTCCTAGTCCCTCTACCATGTACACCTCTACCAGCACTACCTCCTCTAGTAACAACCAAGGGTAAACTCTCTGACATAGGTGTGTTCTCATTATGTGGATCGAAAGCTCTCCTAATGCGGGAGAACACTTCAGAGAGGGAAGGAATGTCATTGTTGCCCAGAATTTGAGCACACACTAGTTCAAACTCAGTCCTCAACCCTAAAAATTTGGCAACATCCAGATGTTCTCACTACTCCTATTGTACCTTCAAATCTGTAGACAAGGGTTGGTTGACACATCCATCTCATTCCACAAGTTTTATAAGGCTTCATAGTACTCTTCTATACTTTTATCACCTTGTTGCAGAGAAAAATATTCCTGATATAACTAATATATCCTTGTCACATTGTCCAGTCCTGAATAAAGTTGCTTTGCATGATCCCGGATCTTTTTGGTAGTATCCAAAAACATGAGATTAACACTAATGTGGTTCTCCATACTGTTTCAAAGCCATGTCATAATCAGTGCATTTTCTTGCATCCAATCATTATACCCAACAATTCCACTATTTGGCTTATTCTCCTAAATGTATTTCAAATTTTCTTTTGCAACAAGATATGCCTCAATTGATTTCAACCATAATGCATAATTAAGACCATTAAGTTTGACAAGAGGTCATTTAAATAGGCATATAATCTGTCTGTGACACCACAATAGACTTAGCTTCACAATTTGAAGAAGCCATAAAGTTGAAAATACTCTTCAATTGCCTTTCCAAGGAACAACTACTATCAAACATCACTCTATCAAAGAATAACTACTGCTAGACACCCACTGTTACTAATTTTCAAGAACAAAAAATCAAAAGAGGGCAACCACTTACCTGAACCACCAGCTGACTTCATACACATAGAACTAGGTTTCTTCCACACCAAAATAAATCATGGAAGCACCAAAAACAAGTAGAAAACATATACGACCAACCGGTATAGCAACCCAAGCAAATGTATTGGCTATGTAACTTAAGATTTAAGTGCTGATCTTAAGTAGCCCAACACCCAAAAAGCTAGAGGGTGTTTAGCAATTGGCACTGAGGCATTTCACAAGCATTCATTTCACCATGAATCAAGAATAGATTACACCTTTTTTTTTGAAGAGTAAAAGGAAAATTTTCATTATATAAAAAAAAAAGGAAATACAATCCAAGACGTGACAGGATGATATCTCAACGATACTAAACAGTTACAGACTAAAGAACAGTTACAAACAGTTACACCTGATTATGCATTATTTCTTTGGAAAATATGTTTGATGGTGTTAAGTCCTTAAGTTTGCTAGACTGGGAGCAGGTTATTAAGATACTACCAAACACAAATTAAAAAATAATAATAAAGAAGAAAAAGGGCTTTCTTATAAGCCTAGTCAGTCTTATTGGTGGGCTAAAACATTTTAGTAAAGAAAGGGGCTTGCAGTCTAGTTTAGTGAACAACAGACCCCAAGTTAATTGGGCTTGTTTGTAATGCAATAAGCATTTAATGGGCCTGCAGTAGAGCCCATTTAATAGAACAACAGGCCCTAAAAGAATAAATCTATATTAATTAATTTCTTGTTAGGTGTCCCACTTATTTATAAGGGAATGCCACTTGTCCTATTNATATTAATTAATTTCTTGTTAGGTGTCCCACTTATTTATAAGGGAATGCCACTTGTCCTATTCTAACATGAGAGCTATTTTCCCTCCTTTAACCACTTATAGGGGGGGGGGGGGGCACATGTCACCCTAGGGGAGAGAGTTATTTTCCCTCCTCTAACCACTTTAAGTGGGAGAGACACATATCACCCTAGAAAGAAGGATTTATTTTCCCTCTAATCACTTGAAGTGGGGGAAACACATGTTACCCTAGGGAAGAGAGTTATTTTCCCTCCTCTAACCACTTTAAGTGGGGGGAATACATGTCATCCTAGGGGAGAGAGTTTTCTTCTCCTTCCTTTACCCACTTTAAGTGGGGGGACACTTGCCACCTTAGGAAGGAAGAGTTTTATTTTCCTTCCTTAACCCATTTTAAGTGGGGTGACACTCGGCACTCTAAGAAGAGAGGAGTGGGGAGTTACTTAACCACCTCCCTCCTCTATATAAACCCCTCTCCTACAAGGAGAAGGGGCTAATGCCATTTTGTTGGCTAATTCTATTCGGTTGATAGAATTTATATCAACAAGAGACAAACCAAGGAGAAAGAAGAGAAGGTTGTGGTGTGGAAGAAAATGGAGAAGAGGAAAAAGAAGAAGGTAGGGATTTCAGTATTCCTCCTCCACCTCTTCATTATGATTCTCCTACAACTTCCTCTATTAGACATGTTTTTCCTTATACTCCTTTCACACTTTCTTTCTTTATTGTTATTATTTTCCTTTTTTTTCTTCTCTTTATCTCATTTTAATCATATCTGAGGGAAACAACCATCTACAGCCTTGTTCTTGAAACTTGGCTAATTATGGTTCCTCACAACTTATTAACCTATGTGTGAGGGGGGAAACCATCTACAACCTTGTTCATGAAACTTGGTTGATTATGGTTCCTCACACCATGATAATGCACATAATTACAATTTAAAGGCCATTTGTAGCCTTATTAATGAAATATGACTATTTATGATACCTATTTACGTGTTATGTATAAAAAGTTTGTTTATTTATTTGATGGTGTTTCTCTCAACAAAGAGGGAATATATACCAGAATTTTCAAAAGGAAAATTATGTAGAAAAATGTTATTTAGTTTAGTCTATTCATTTGTACTTCTAAATCAAAATAAAAAGGGTTTTCTCTACCCCTAACAGAGATATAATTAAGGGAACATCTACGTAATTTCCTGAATGGGGCTTACCCAAATAACAGAAAAAAAAACCCAGTTATTAGTCTAATTGGGTGAATTATGTTATGTGTGAAATTATACTAAAAAAATTTCCACTAACAGATGGAAAGTGAGACTATTGGAGATGGCTCATCAAAGGTAGAGGTTATGAGCATTACTTATGGAAGTAAGAATGGGCAAGTTGCAGTGGTTCCACTCTGTTGCAATAGAGGCAGATTCTTCAAACACAATCAGGTAGAGTAGATGTTTGGCAGTGGACCACAGAGATTGCTCATTTTCTCAATGAGATAAGAAAAACCATGGAACTTATTTTAGCCCAAATCAGATGGATCCTAATAGAACTAAATGCAACAGATGATGGGTGGTATCTTATTTTATGCAAGAAGCATCTTATGGGTGCAAAGTGGGCCATTTATTACAATAAATAATAAAATAAATTTTTATTGAAAGGCAAAAAAGAAAAGTACAAGAGAAGGTGATAAGGAATCACATGAGAGGAAAATGAAAAACTAATCGTTGGGTGCATGGTGGGCCTATTTGAGATGACTCATCAAAGGCAGAGAGAGGTTATGGGCATTACTTATGGGAGTTAGGATGGGCTAGTTGCAGTAGTTCCACTCTATTGCAATAGAGGGAAACTTTTCAAACACAATCAGATGGAGCAGAATTTTTGGCAATGGTCCATGGAGACTTGCTCATTTTCTCAACAAGATAAGAGAAACCATGGAGCTTATTTCAGCCCAGATCAGATGGACCATAGTAGAACCAAATGCAATAGCTGATGGGCTTACTAAATCAGGGATAAGAGGACTTTTTTCTGTATAGTGACGGTGCACTTCCAGCTTAAATTTTAAGGTTGTGTTTGGTTGCAATACAAATAAATTTGCACAGATGCAAAACTATGGCAATGCAAATGATTCGAGTGTAAATTCTGACCTATTTTTGTTTCAATTTTTAGTTTATTTTGTTTGATTGCATTATAAATGAAGTAAATTAAGACATGAAGCAGAATGAAATAACATCCAAAGCAAAATTAAATGAGAATTTGCATTTTTTTCATTTGCACTCCCATGCATTTGTACTAGTGCAAATAAAATTGCACTGCAACCAAACACATCATCATCTTCCATTTTTTTTTTTTTTTTTGTATGGGGACTGTATATCTTCTCATGTACACTTTCTGTTAACCTCAAACATAATGTGTGTAAACAGTTACCTTGACACATTTGCCAAACAGAGAACCATAAATAGAAGCATGAAGAAACAAACTAACCTGGAGGGCGCGGCAAACACAATCTATCTCTGTATCAAAATCAGATTTCTCCTTTACTGTGACAAGCTCAAGGACAGCACAATATGATTTATCATGTGGACTGAAAACTGGTAATGCAAGAGATCCACGGACTTGATGATCAACTGCATGCTTTACTCGCAAGTATTCAGTGTTGCTATAATAGACCACATTTGATGTCCATTCTGGCATTTTAGAGATAAAAACACGACCAGGAAGCCCAGGAAAAGAACCAGGTGCTTCTTTTGGGGAGAAAGTAAATGCCCTTGATACTTCACGGTACCCTGCAAGATTGTGATCTAGTAGGTACGGCTGCTCACAAGTACTCAAAACAAACTCATCTCCTTGCTTAATAGGCACCCAAAATTGTGCAAGAATTCCCGCTCCAGATGATTCTTTAAACAGGGAGAGTGCCCTAAGCATCTTCTCAGCAGGTGACCACCCCATCGACCTGGAAATGATACAATTCCCTGAATCTAAAATGTTTTTTTGGGGAAAGTAACAATTATTTTGCTTATTATCTAAGGCATCCATATCAGAAGAATTCAAAGTAAATCCAGACTGTGTTTCCATTTGCTGAAATAATATTTTGTCCGTGCAACCTGAAGAACCTCCAATTGCATTGAAAGCGTCCCCATTACTTACAGGGAAGGTACCAGCAATTTGTTCTGAGTAATTGTTTGGAGCAAAAGAAGAAAAGCTAGTTGGACTTAGTGGAATAGAGCTCAAACCGTAGGATAGCAAAGCCTGGTCTGCAGATGAAGGGCTGGCGCAAAATTCTGCATAGTTATCAAAATTCATCGAGTCCAAGAAACTGTTAAGTGAATCTTCTGAGATGAAATTCCCTACTCCACCTTCTGGTGATGGCAAACCCTCCATCTGAGCTTCAATTCCCTTCTCTCTAGGCCGAAACGGATAGTCCATCCTCGCTTTGAAGATTAGCTCGTGTCATGAACCAAACTCCATCAGATAAGTAGTCTCCGGCAATGCTAACTTTGTGGAAGAACCCAGCTTTATTTTTCCAATTACCATATCGAAAAAGATCTGGACTTCACCATCCAAATTCCAAATTTCACTTCTTATGTTGAGGAATCCCTACTAACAACTTCCCATCACAAACAACCAACCACAACACATCAACTTATTTGCAGGATCAGCTTAACTATGAATTCTAGCATTCACCATTAAAACTAAGTACTCCCCAACAAAATCCCCGCAACAAAAAGCCAACAATCTTATTCTTCCATCAACATAAAAGTCAAAATCTCAGATTCCTCCCCTGCCCCAAAACAGTTAGAATTCCACTTCTTCAGAGACAAAGTCCACATCTCGAAAAATTCTTATACTCTTATACACAGCTAAAAAGCCAGCCAAACCATACATAAATTCTTAGACTCTGCCAATCTCGAAAAACTCCAAAACCCAGAAGCCCAAAACCAAGAATCACATACAAGCCAATAAATCCACTATTCGCGTTTGAAAATCCTCGAAAAACTACTTATAAAAAAGGCAAAAGCCCTAGAAAGCGCCCAGACAACAGATTTCTGAAAATCTACTAAACACAGAACCCTGGTCTATACCTTCTCAGCTAATTCTTCCCAGAAACTTTGCTAAATTTGGAGGGAAAAAATAGCTCCTGAGCTTACTTGCAGAAGATTCCGCATTAAAGATCCAATCGGCCTTTTAGCGTCGCGAATCCGAAGTCACAACACGACCAGCTTCGCTGAATGGAGAAATGCAAAGGTGACCTCACATCGACCCCACGTGACGAAACTACCCTTAATGGCTACTTTATTTCCACTTTGGTTGAACAAGAAACGGTCACATGGAAGTGCGCCGAATTTGGTGGGCCCAATTGGATGAGCTGTGTGACAGTGTGAGTCATCTAGACTGTCCACCTGGTTTTTGAACAATTCAGGAGAGGTCAAAATGGTAGTCAAGATGGTACAGGTCATGACATTTGACTATGTGACAGGTCAAGACTGTCCGTTGTCAATGATTATAATATGCTAATTGAACGGAGAAGATCAGAAGATTATGTATTTTTGAAACGCGAAGGGTGAGGATTATAAAATGTATATGATTTCGTACTTCAGTATACACGTGGTATCCATTTTAGCGATAATAGATAGGGTAGAGTAAATACGACTGGATGTGGATTGTGGAAGGTCAAAATGGTCATTATACATTAGAAACAAATGTCAAAGAGGAGAAGTGGCTTTCTTTTAAGAGGAAGAATCTAGGGTAGAGCGGACAGAAATTCGACACGTGGCAGAACTATTGAATCTGGAATCTAGGTTAAATATCCGAATTCCGAAGCATTAGATTTGGTCGGCAATGAAGGTGCCAAGTGGGGGTGGGGGTGGTGGGCATAATCATTATATTTGTTGTACTCATATCTTCGTCTCCTCCCCAGCTGGTGTTTAATGCATGTTATCATTGGTGCCCTTGTACTTTTTTTGTATTGTTTCTGTTTCGCCTGTCCCGAATCATGTGCAACTAGATTTCTATGTTTTAATAGATTTTTCAAATATAAATAATTATTGTACAAATATATACAAAATAATACAAAATATAAAATTAAACTACATTTCTCTATATTATTTATTTTTTAGATAAATAAAATAATGATTATTGTAATCATAAAAAATCATTATTAAAAGGGACAATTTAATTATCCGTTTATGAGACAGATATCATTTACCCTGTGAAAATAAATTTTATGTGAATTTAACATAAATCTGAAAAAAACATGGGTATTTTGGTCAATAGGAACCAACATCCCATTGACCAACTTTTCCCCTCTCAAAATCCAAAAAATGAATGAGTCCTTAGGGTTTTGCTTGTGGAATCCAATTGGTTTTTGCAGGCTTTCTTTTTATCCATAATCCTAGGCTTGTTTAACATGGTTGCTGATTTTTTGTCTAAATATTTTCAGTTTGTAAATGAGTCTTCGGAGGATGTGAGCTTTCTTGGGGAGGTTGTTTGCTGATTTTTCTTTTTTATTTTATGGTAATTCTACAAAAAGGGGCCAGGGTAGCACATTCCTAGGAATCACAAAAACAAATAGGCACTAATGCTCCATTTGGAATATGTAGAGTGCAAAACCTTGTATTTTGTATTTTTTTAATTTGTATGTATTTGTACAATACACATTTGTATTTGTACTCATTCCAAGTGTTTGATCGCAATGCAATTTTATATGCATTAATATAAATACATAGGAGTGTAAATGAAAAAAAATGCAAATTCTCATTTAATTTTGTTTTGGTTGTTATTTTATTCTGCTTCATGTCTTAATTTACTTCATTTATAATGCAATCAAACAAAATAAACTAAAATTCGAAACAAAAATAGGTCAGAATTTACACTCAAATCATATGCATTGCCATAGTTTTGCATCTATATATGCAAATTTATTTGTATTTCAACCAAATACAACCCAAGGACCAAGGAAGATAATACAAACTTATGACACTACAAGAAAAAACATTATTGGCTAGCAAATTAGTAGCTTGATTGGCCTTTCTATAGATGTAGCAATAACTGATGTCATTCTCCAACTTTTCACCAATGACACTCCTCAATGATGTTCTTCAACCTCCAAGGAGAATTGAACTTCTTTAAGGCCCTGTTTGATTTTCAGTAAGTTACTTACCCGAGTAAATGCAATTACCTAGGTAAGTTTTACCCGAGTAAGTGCATTTACCCATGTTATTTTATTTCTCACGTAAATAAGGCAATGACCATTTTAGCCATAAAAATCCATTATTAAAAAGGGCATTTTTTACCCATTCAAGTGTTGGCAACTTTCCCCCTAGGTGGGAATGTTATTTACCCGCCTAGGAGATGGGTATCACTTAGAAAATAAACTTTCCTTGGTCCCCACATAAATCTAAAATAAGAACATGGTATTCTTGGTCAATGGGAACCAAAATCCCATTGGCCAACTTTCCCCCTCTCAAAATCCGAAAAAAGAACGCCCCCTAAGAGATGATCTGATCATCAAATCTCTCTCTATGGTAATATGTCTATTATACTAAGGCCATGTTTGGGGGTACTTGAAAATAAGTGTTTATTTGGGTGGGGACCATACCATTAAGCACTTATTAGTGTTTGGGAAATAAGCCTAAAATAAGTGCTTAATTTAAAAATAAGGGTTTATTTTTTAAGCCCAAATTTCTACTTCTTTCTTAAGTGCTCATACAATAAGCACTTATTCAATTTTTTCTCCCATAATTGTCCCAGTTAATTTTTATAATACCAATTATAACCTTTTTACAAAAACAATTTTACAAAGGCACTTTTATAAAAGTAATTTTATGAAAGTTACTTTTACGAAAGTAAAGTATTTATATGAAAGCACTTTTATGGAAGTACTTTTATGAAAGCACTTTTACAAATGCACTTTTATAAAAGTACTTTTATGAAAGTACTTTTACGAAAGCACTTTTACAAAAGCACTTTTATGAAAGTACTTTTATGAAAGCACTTTTACAAAAGTGCTTTTACGAAAGTACTTTTATAAAAGCACTTTTATGAAAGCACTTTTATGAAAGTACTTTTATGGAAGCACTTTTACAAAAACACTTTTATAAAAGCACTTTTACAAAAGCATTTCTATCAAAGTACTTTTATTCATTCACTTTGGATTGGATATTTTGAAAATTTGAAAGAAAATGAAGGACAAAGGAGTAACAATTGCTTATTTAAGTGCTTATTGGAGAAAAAGACCACCAAACACTCTATAAGTGCTTATTCGAATAAACACTTGTTTTTAAGCACTTACTTTTAACATAAGCACTCCCAAAGATGGCCTAAAATTTAGAGCCATGTTATAGGCTCCCAAAGCAGCCCAAGATTTAGCTAAATTTGTCGCTCTTCTACCAAGTCTATACGCTTTTAGGCAAACTACCGGGGGCTCGTGCTTTGCACAGACTTTATTAAGCAAAAATTAAACAATAGAAACACATAAAAGTAGACAATTGATTTATATTGTAATTTTTTAAAGAATTAATAATTATTTATATTGAAAACATTTAAAATTTATTTAAAAAGTATATAAAACATAAATAATACCCTACCCCACCCCGAATGGGGCAAATTTTCTAGAATCATAAATAGGGATAGGGAAGAGACAGGGTGGGGATGGGAAAAATATTTTTGCTCCAAATCAAGGACGGGGAAGGGACGAGATTTGCATATAATTCCCCAAATCCGATGGTTAATTATTAAAATATCAATAGATTTAATATTGACTTTTAAAATATATCTAAGCTTTCTCCTCACATTCTTATAATCCACAATTCAATTTATAAAATACCCCCCAAATTGTCACAATCAAATTCTTAAAATACCCCAAATTTCCATAACCTTATTTGTAAAATATCCACAAATTAGTTTTTTTTAAGTGGTGGCCTCGAGGTGGGGAAAATTTGGACATTTCCTATTGTTGATAGGGAATGGGTGCCTCGCCTCAAACCCGCCCCACCACCAAGGATGGACAAAATTTGGACATTTTGTTATTAATTTTGTAAAATATAAAATTATTATTAATTCAAAAGTTATGAAATCTATTATAATTATTATTATACTCTTGAGAATATTTTTTAAATTTATTACATAATTTCATTATCTTAACTATTTAAAATTTAGTTATGTTAAATATTTCATTATTTAAATATTTAAGTAATATGTAAAATATTTAAAATTTTTTATTTAAATTTAATTTTTAAAGTTATTATGCAATTTTAAATATTTTGTTATTTAAATAATTTTTATTTATGCTTTTAAAATATTATTTAGTTATTAAATTGAATAATCCATAAAATTATAATTTATATTGTTATTACATTATTTCATTATAATATTTAAATAATCATTAAATGAAAAGTGTGGGAGAGGATAAATAGGAATTAAAGATAATTTAAGAGAAAATGGGGGATAGTTAGTTTCCTAATAAAAATGAGAGAAAAAAGGAAGGCTTTTAGGCTACAACCCCACCATTCAAACACATGGATTCTTCAAATTTAGACACATGGCATTTTCTGAGAAGTTGCTATTAAAGCCCACAAACCACTACCACCATTTAGACAAGTGGCCTTTTCATTTTTTAGAAAGTTAGACACGTGGCAATTTTTGAGAAATTTGTGCTAAAGCCTATAGCTCTCCACCATTTAGACACATGGCCTTCTCATTCAGACACATGACCTTCTCATTTTTTTGGTAAGCTAGACATGTGGCATTTTTCTGAGAAGTTGCTGCTAAAGCCCACAACCCATTACCACCATTTTCAATCCATTCCTAAAAAAATGCAGAAAATGCAAAAGTGGTTATCTACAACTACTTTTGCCTACATTCTATAAATCTTAGTTAATCATTAACCCTCTATGTATCATAACAAAAGAAAACTATTCATATTCTAATAATATTGAAAAGCTATTTTTTGAAATAAATATTTCTTGGAATTTTAATAATTATTTAAAATATTAATAAATATAAATTTAACCGCATTGATTCCATAATGTAAATTTAACATTATTGATTCCTCGTACTTAGTAGGGGGTCATTCACTAGTACATAGATGAAAAGTGTGGGAGAGGATAAATAGGAATTAGAGATAATTTATGAGATAAATAGGAATTAGAGAGAGATAGAGATAATTTAGAAGAAAATGGGGGATAGTTAGTTTCCTAATAAAACGGAGAGGAAAAAGGAGAAAAACTTGGTTAGGTGGC